TGAATAAATACTCAATACAAGATGCTGGAGACATGATATTAGCTTATCAGACACACTTGGATGAATTCTGCGAGAACAAATTAACAATGTTTTGTGATCATCCACTTAAGAGATTATCTTCTTCTCTTCTCACTTGTGAGACGATCAAGTTTGTTCTGAAATGGAATCCAAGTGAGCATTCTCTCTCCAGTATCAGAGCCCTCCTATGGAAAACGTTCAAGGATAATCAAGTGGAGGTGGTAGTGATCAAGGAAGGGAACTCCATCATTGTTACTTGTTATGCTCCTCATTATCTAATGGAGAGTTTACTAGTGACAGCTAGAGATAATGTTGATATGCTAAAGGAGATGGGATTGATTAGTTTAACTATTGGTTACTATACTGTGTATGATGAACATGCAATTGATGAGGTTAGTGAATGTATGTGTATATAAATTAATAGTATACTTTAATATTTGATAGGAGGTGAAGAGTCTAATGAAGAAACTGGAGATGGTAGAGAGTGAAAGAGATGATTTACTTGAGGAGAATGCTAAATTGAAGGGCACAATAGACACATTAGGTATATACTAATTATTACTCATAAATATTAATAATTTAAAGGTCAAGGCAAAGAAGTTGACGAAAGCAATAAGTCATCAATACAATCATCAGGTAAAATGACACTTATGTTTCAGACATGATATTTATAATAAATATTGTTCTGCACATGAATTCTGGATAAATTCATCATGATTCATGAAGTTGAATTTTGTTCATAATACTTTATTGCATTAGATTTTGATAAGGAAGACAGTAAAAAAAAGCTGACAAAAGCAATGCAAATGGAAATAGATCATTTACGGTCAACTCTTCACAGCAAAACAAGTATATGTACACCCATATTTATTACTGTAAAATGACAATACAGTACAGCTGTGTTATTTCTTGTAGTTCAATTGGTTATGGTACGAATTTTTACATGTACTGTATAGGGGTTTTATTTCACTGGAAATAATTTTTGCTAATTTTGCATTTTCATTAAAATAATTTGCATAATTAAATTGCACAAAGAAAAATGGCCGCAGAAGGTAAGATTTGTGAAAATTTATACTAACAAATGGAAAATCTCAACAAATTCGTGAAATTTTATACTAATAAATAAAACCCCTATATGGTATATTGCTAGTATGAATCCTTCAAATTGTTACTTGTAGCACATATATACTAACTATAATGGTATGATGTTAATTCTAATTGATTACTTTTCTGCAAGTACCTAGTAGATGAAGTTTTGCAGTGAGTTTATATTTTCTAGCTTGTAATTCTTGAAAAATGCAATTTTGCAAATATCTTATTGTTCTTTCATTTATTTGTGCTAATGAAAACACACAATTTAATTCTGCAAAGCATTACTAGATCTAGTTAATGCCGGCAAGGGTGCATCAACAGCTCATGCACCAGCAAAATTAAATTCACACTTTATTAGTACAATATCACAAAATATAAAAGCCCTACAAATTGCATAGTATTTTGAAGCATGAGTGTTTTAGGGAGATGATTAAAGTCATTCATGATTTGTTGGTAGAGTAGCTAAAACATGTTAGATCATCACAGCTCATCTTTCAAGATTTTCATTTTTAATGATATAAAATTTTGCTAAAATTAATTATATAAAAATTAATATTATTGATTATGAACTGTAAATGAAGCATTTCCTTAGATAATAATAATGACTATTATTTTGATAGGAATAGAAGGAATATTAAATGAAAGAGAAAAGGAGATTGAAATGTTACAGGAAAAGATATCATTATTGAATGTACAACAACTGAAAGAAACTTCAGTTACTCTTAGTATGTATTACATTATTATTAACATAATGACTAGTACTGGTATATTAGGAAAGGATCAGTCTACACAATCAATAGATCCACCAAAAGGACCAGTGTATGTAGCTAAGTATGACTATGAGCAAAGGGAAGCTACTCAACTTTCATTCAAGGAAGGAGAGAAACTTGAGATCAAGGAAGAGCATACTGATGGATGGTGGCTAGCAAGATCTTTGGATACTGAGCAAGAGGGGAGTGTTCATATTGATCATATTAAAAAAGATGAAGAAAGTGAACTGTCCACATTGGAATCACTTGAACTATTTTATTATGCAATGACAGAAAATGTTGACATACCTAAAATCAAGGAAATTAAGACAAGCAGCAACGTTGAGAGAGCAAGTCTCTTTTTATCATTAATTAAACAAAATTCAGTTCTGCTAAATCAACTTAGAGAAAAAGAACGTGGTAAGGTATAATACTGTTTGGATTATATAAATTTTTCAATGTTGATGAAGGAAAGCATGTCTATTTTAATGCCAACAGCTTGATTGGTGTGAGTATGTGTGTATATTGCCATGTATTATAAAACTCTGAGAGATAAAGTTAGAAAAATCTTTTTTAAATTCTGCAATATTTTGCATGCTAATTTTCAGGAAAATAGTTAATTTAATTTAAAATTAATGGATCAAGCAGCATATTAGAATTTGTTGAAATTTAATTTTCATTTTAATTTAGAGATTATTATAGTTTTTTGGGAATGAGCATGCATAGCCAAATAGATTTACTGAAAAGATTTGCAAGAAATATCAAGTAGTAAAATTATGCATTTAATTAATCCTTATGAAAATTAAGCTAAAAATTTATTTTGTTATTTAGTAAGTATGTTAAATTTTATTGTATAACTCAATTTATTTATAACTTTTTGTGTATTCAGAAAAAACTAAAGCAATTAGGTGGTATGATGATGGTGTTCAACTGACCTCTCCATCGTTAATACAATGTCAAGAAGTAATTTCTCTATTAACATACAAACATATGAACATCAGCATCATCAAATCATCTCCTGACATTGTGCTTAACCTGTTGCCAGTTGTATTACAAAATGAAAAGGTGACGTACTTCAAAATACAAGACACTCAGCTAACACAGGACTGCATCTCATCGTTATGTAACTTACTGGCTAATAATAAATCATTATTAGCTTTACATCTTACTAACTGTTCCATTGATGACAAAGCAGTTGCTGATGTTACAAGTGTGCTAAAAACACACAATGACACACTTAAAAGGTTATCCTTTTTTAATAACCCTCTTATTAGTTCTTTTAGTGCTCAGTCTCTTTCTGAACTAATTACCAATAATTCAACAATAACTGAACTATCAATAAGAGGCACTTCAATATCATCTGATGGAATATTACTAATTCTTTCACTATTATTAATTAATGAGAATATAATAAAGTTCTATCTAGATATGAAACACAAAGATGCATGTATAGAATACCATGATTATAATATTATAAAAGATAGATTAATATTTGTATAATTAATGATATTGTTTTATTTAATTTAAACATAAAAAAATAATTATAAAAGTGATTTATGATAACTAAAGAGGAGAAAAAAACAGAGTTATAAAACATTGTTAACTTTATGATTGAGTTTTAGCAAGTGGTGAAAACAAAGATCTGGAGAGAAACTACAATGATAATAATAGTATTTATATTGAAGGAAATAATAGTGTAGCCTCTATAATAAGGACACCTTATAGTACATGTAATTATATGCACATACTTTCATATCAATTTGTCCAGTAGTTCATATTCATAATATGTAACATTAAAATCAGAATCACAAGGTAACTGTAGATAAATGAATAAATAAATAAAATAATTAACTTTGAATACATGAAAATATTATACTGTATAAGACCATAATTCAGAAACTTTTAGTCTGAATCATCTCAAAGTTTCTACAAAAAGAGATATCAATATGCATCAGAAAATGGAAAAAAGATTGGAGGTGATTTTGGAGCTATTTTTTGGAAAAAAAGCATAGGCTATAGTACCAGGTATTTTTCAGAAATTAGCCAATTTTAAAAATGACCATAACTCAAAAACTTTCAGTCAGAATTACTGCAAACTTTCTACACAGTACACAGCAAAAGGACTTCAATGGAAACTCTTTCATGAATTCATCATTATTGTAATCTTTTAGTAGTGGATCCATTACCTGATATATTTACTGACATCAATGTCTGTTTCTATGGAATTGATGAGAGCACCAGACTCACTCTATCCCGTTATATAATAGCATATCCTAATTCTACATGAAGACTTAATGTTATATTAATAATGATGTATATATTTCTAAATTAACTTATCCTTACTTATAATGGTGATGTAGAGGAGGCCCTCACTGATAAAACAACACACATTATTGTTCTTGGCTTGGAGGGAATTACCATTCACACAAGGTCACAGTAGTCTCATTGAAATGGTTGGAAGACAGTTTACATGAAAGACATCTTTTAAAAACTGATAAATACATCATTTATATAATTCAGTATTTTTTTAAATGTGTGGCTAAAATAGCATTAAACTTTGAATGTTTCCTGTGTAGATTTTATGGTCATTTTACTTGTAGGTGGAGCTTGTGGTTTTACATGTATTTTGCAACCATAGATTGCAACAGCATTGGCGGCGCGCTGGTAGATCTAATAATTGACTGCATCTTTTCATTTCTTTATTTTACAACAGTTGTCCTTTAAGGTAAGTCTATAATGATTTATTTTAATCATGCTATAATTAATAGATCTATTACTATTAGATCTAGTCTAGTTTACAAGATTTCTCATCGTCAACAGCAAGCCGTCTGAACTGAACTCAGTTTCAATCACTAACCACAGATTATCTGTACCGGCACTGAATACTCAAAATGTGAGTTCAATTTACACTATAGCATAATTCTATGTTCTGATCAATAATAGGCTATTAGGATTAGACCAGTAGCATGATCAAATTTAGTCAAAATAGACCACCTTTGTACTATACTAGTGAAAACAGAATCCATTTATAATAGTCATAATTATCATTAGTTATCATCTTCACACCCTGACTATCCTTCCGTAGAGCATTACCTCATCTTGTTATTGGTAACAGTTGTCAGGATTCACTTAGTAAACACTGTAATTGTAGCTACATATAGCCTATATAGTATTGCTGTCACTATTTGACATTAGTGAACCGGGCCACATCATGGTACCATTATACTGGCTCATGCTTTTGTTTAATATTTCACCGTGAAAATAAACCGGCATACAGTATACATGTATTATGTTTGTGAAAGTTGTTCTTGTTAAATCATTGATTTTGCATGTAAAATCTACGGTCAATAGATGTATCTTCAAAATTGTGATTGTTATGTCAAAAAGGGGCCAGCTTAAATTTAGACCCAATGACCAACAAACTGAGAGCTAGCTGAGTTACGTTACTGCATTAGCATTTGGTATAATTTTACATATTAAAACATAAATTTGCAAGTATAGCACAATTTTTAGTTTGTATAAATTATTGATAACATTAGTTATTGTTTTATTATTGTTAACAAGAATTACAAAAATTGATTTTGTTATTGTCATTGATTGCAACATAAGTAGGTAAGCCATGCTTGTCACAAGTGATCCCCAACCTTTTGAATGAGTATTTTAGTAAAATATTAACATAAAAAGAACAGTAGTATTATGAACAGGGACAGGTATATGTTTTACCAAAACAATCAAGGAAATAATCAGTAATGAACATACATGGAGCAAAGGGACGAATGGTTAGAGGTATAGAAGGGTAACATGGGTAATCAAGGTAACACCATGACAGGGGTAATGAGGGTGACAATGGTAACAAGGGTGAAAGTGGTAATGAGGTATTAAGGGTGGGCTCATTACCCTTGTCGCCTCGTTATCCCTGTTTCCTCTGTTACCCTTTTCACCTCTGTCCCTATTACCTCACACACTGATCCCTTTGTTTTTTACTGCTTATTTCCTTAATCCACTTGGTAAAGCCTGACCTTACATCTATATTTCACAGTTCATTATGTTACTATACTGTTTAACTCAATTAATGATAATCATATCAGTATGTGGTTCACATAGCAGCACTAAATAGTAAAATGATACAGGTTATGTAGCTTCAATTGCAATGATACTAAGCAAGTTCTGTTACTCTGTGCTGAACAATTGTAACTGTTACTGTAACAAGTATATGATTTAATTCAGTTATAAACTTGTAATCTCAGTTATACCTTGTTATATGCATGCTTGAATGATATCGTAGACAGTTCTCATAATGATTCTTGGTAAATATTCAGTACTAGTTCAATTACACATTCATACACTTAAGGCATATACTCTTTATCATTATAGTGACTGGATAAAGGCTGTAAATCACTAAAATAATAATTAAAAGATGATTGATGTCTCACAATGGAGAGCAAGTATTGGACTGTGGAACTACTGTCAAGCTGCCTCCAGTAGACCAGCTAATGGCCGCCACTCTCACTCATTCAAAGCTACAGTAGACAGCAAGTCAGGCAGTACTACATCAGGAGAGAAGACATCTAAACTGCCACCAGCTCTGTCTCTTATTGTTTCTCTTTTTTTATTTTTATTAAGATACATGAAGCTCAATTTTATTCCTCCAACTGGTAAACAAACTAACAGTATATTTAATTTTATCATACAGTGTATTTACAATAGGTATAGTTACTGTTACTGTTATGATCCACTGCCTCCAGTCATTAGTCTTGTTTATAGCTACAATTGGCAGTAGCTCTGACCTAATCTACTATTTGGTTTTACTTCTCCTCCTCCTCTTATCAGGAGATGTTGAACTCAATCCTGGTCCTATAACAGGTAAACAAACAATTAAAACAACACTCATTTACTGATACACTACTGCAGGTAATCCAAAGGATATATTAAGGAATCATTCTGTTAAACTCACTGATGCTATTACTACTAACCTTTACAGAGTAACTGATGCACTGTATGCTGAAGGACTGATACCACTGGATACTAAAAGGGACATGTACTCATTAACAGGAGATAATGAATCAAGGAAAACTGGGAAATTACTCATTACTTTACAAGCAACACTTGAATCATCTCTTAATCCAGAGCAATATCTTTTTGAAATATGTCATGTATTAATAAACCGACAACATCGTACACTAACGGATATTGCTATCTCTATTTTACAACATTTAGGTGAGTGTGAGTACATTATCAGTGATCAATATAGTCATTGTATCTCAATACGTTAGGTCAGTCTATACCTGATAATGTCACATCCATTAGTTCAATACCTGATGATGTTCAAGGATATGCTGACAATATGAGACAACACTACAAACACCAACCTATTGTTGCTACAGACTGGCCACCAAGAATTGGAAAAGATTTTTTTGGAAGGCTAGCACTAGTAGAAAAACAAGACTCTAGCACACAAGCAGAATCAGCTTGGCATATGCTAAGAGGACAAGTTGATAAAACGGTTAAACTGACTGAAAACAAAGAGATAAGTCTCGAAGATGTTCTTCAACCCACAGATAGTTCTAATTCATCTCTCAGAGTAGTAATAGATGGTCCTCCTGGTATTGGTAAAACAACACTCTGTCGTAAACTGTTGAACATGTGGTCAAATGGAACACTTGTACACCAACAGTATGACTTGGTACTTTACTGTCCTTTAAGGAATAGCAAAATAGCTACAGCTACTACACTAACTGACCTGTTTGTGCGTCGGCGTTATGAAGTTCCAATGGTAACTGAATGGTTTGAGAAGAGGAATGGAGAAGGATTACTAATAGTCTTTGATGGTTGGGATGAACTAAGTGAACAACTCAGACAGTCTTCATTAGTTGCTAGTATCATTTGTAAAGATGAATTAGACCAATGTTCAGTAATAGTCACCTCTCGTAGCTATGCCTCCTCTTCACTTTTGAAATTGGATACTCTTAGTAGACATGTTCAGGTCATTGGGTTTTCTAAGGATGAAATATCAACAGTAATCATACAAACACTTCAAAAAGATACAAAACTAGCACAAGAACTAATTGATAAGAAAAGAGAAGATGATAAGGTTGACAAGACTTTGACAGCTACTCAAAGCAGTAAGGACTCACAATTAGCAGTGAAACTCATTAATGATCTTAAAGTACGAAATGATGTCCAATCATTGTGTTATGTACCACTAGTCTGTTCCATGGTTATCTTAGTTTATTGTAAAGAAGGAGGACGCTTACCAACAACACTCACTCAACTGTATGAGAACTTTATCCTACAAACTATCAGAAGACATGTTAAAAGACATAACATTAACCCACTTATTTTAGGTAGTCTTTCTTCACTGCCATCACAATTAGTAAAACCTTTACAAGAGATGTGTCATTTAGCTTATACAAAACTTGTTAATACATCAATGGTATTTCCTTCAGATCAACTACTGTCACTACATGAGGCAGTTAAAGAAGAATATCTTGGATTGATGACAACATTCATAGAATATGATGAAGAGAAGTATCAATTCCTTCACTTGAGTATACAGGAATTTCTAGCTGCATGGTGGATAGCTAAGCATGAGAAGAAGACAGAGGAAGTGTTTAAGAATCACTTTGATGATGATCACTTTCGAATGTGTCTGAGATTTGTGGCAGGTCTAACTCACCTTGAACATGAGAGCTATCAACAGTATTTTAATATACAACAACTTGACTTACAGTGTAAAAGGAAACCATTGTTTGGATTTGAGACTTATCATCTCTCCTACTTCTATCAGAATCCTGAGATTACACGTTATTATCATAGCAATGCTGATGATTATGATAATAGACTATTTTGTATCTACATTCTCCTTCTTCTTGTCCAACTCCTGTATGAATCACAGAACATAGCATTATGTCGAGTATTGTCACAATCTGTGAACAACCACTCACTGTGTCTGGATACTAGTATGAATAGACAATACCTATCATTGTTTGACTGGTTATGTCTCAGTTATTGTATCAAAAATTCTGACATAACTTGGAATCACTTGCACCTGGGGCAGGTATTCAACCAGCAACTATCAGTCTTCACTGCTGGACTAACCAATAACTCACAGACCCAGTGTAAGAGACTGAATTTAGAGTTGTATAATTCCACTGATGAATCAATACACATATTATTATTGCAACCATCACTTCTCAACAATATTCAGGAGTGCTACTGTGAATTATCTGAAGGTCTAAATAAAAAAAGTCAATATTTGCCCTGTATTGTATTGTTACAGTTCCTTAATCTTCCTCAATTGAAGATACTACACTTAAGCGGAATGAAAAATCCTACTATACCAATAGTTGACAGTACATACTACGCTGATAAGTGCACTGAACTTGAGAGATGTATAGCAACAAATTCAATGCTGCAAGAAATAAAGTTCAGTTATAAAGGAATGAATGAAGTAACAAGCATCTTAAAAGGAATGATAAGAAACAAAATAATAACATCATTAACACTAGATGGTACTCTTCCTCCTCTACCTGATGGATTAATAGAGCAGTTACTAAAGGACAACAACACATTACAAGCTCTTTCACTAAAATTTCCTGATGATCTCGTGCCATCATTACTAAATATAGTAGAGGTGAACACACCACTGACTGCTCTAGAAATAACAAAGGACTCAGAGGAGTTAAATGCACTCAGTGCACTGATGACATTGATAAATCTACTTCTTTCACATTTCAAGGAGTTACAGTGTCTGATACTACATGCACCATTCTTACCACATCTTCTCTCTCATTTAAGTCTACGTGTACTTACACTATCAATATATACACCTGAAATGGCTATTGAACTATTTACTATTCTACAAGCTAATGCTACACTAGAAGCTCTGACTGCATGTGGAGGTATTAGATGAAGAGGCAGTATATACCACCAGTATGGGTACTAGTCTGCAAGACATGCTAACACAAAACCAAACTCTGAAGTACCTTGAGATTAATGAGGGTGATGTAGTTATTTTTGACATTTTCATTCCCAGTTCATTTCTGTCGTTCATAACTTCTGGTCTCAGGCAAAACACCAGTCTACAGCAGTTGAGAATAACCATTCCACTCAATAAAGAAGTAGGAACTTTTATCAATGCCATCTCTCAAAATGACAATCTTAAAGAGCTTAAAATGAACTTCATGCCGGATTTTTCATACAGTAACTGTAGTTGGGAGGATAAACGACAAATAATGACACCATTGTTTTATGAACAGGTACTACCTGCTGTTACTAGCATGTTACAGTCACATACAACAATAAAATTATTGTGGATATGGTGTTATCATATTGATACAAAGTCATTTCATCCTAGCTGGACAGAACTAGTACAGCATTTGTATGAAATTATCTTTATCCATCCATCACTTGAGTATATCAAGATTAAAGCAGAAATATTTACACCTCCTCCTGTCCTGGTGAATACTCTTAAAGATAACAGAAAGACATTGATTCATAGACACAGAAAAGAACAACCACACAAACCACTACCAATAGTTGATTTTTCGCTTTAATTTAATTATTATTGTAGCAAATTTTACGCTATCGTCTATTGTCATTATTCTGAAGTCTCATCATAACTCAGCTAGACAGATAATTATCTTTTTACATTACTATTATCAATATTTATAAAAATTATACATGTACTGTAATTGTCAAGAACTATTATAGATCTAGTTATTTTTAGACTTTTTCTTTTTCTTTGATTTGTGTGGACATTCAGCTAAAATAAAGACTTTTAACACATTTCATCTATGTTAGGACTTACCTAGAAATAGAGATACAGGATCATCTTTAGTCTGAGACACAAGAGAAGAAACAATTTCATCATTTTGAAGGAGCGGAAGAAAAACTGAAGTGAACTCGGTAGAATATGGTGGGCCTATAATACTCAATACCTATGAATTTACTATCATGCAAATGCCTCTATCTTTAACTTTACCTCAGAGACAAAGTATCTGATGAGTGAATGGTCTAATGTACCAGATATCATGCATTTGTGTATGCATGATACTACTGGTATGACATGATCACAGCTTAGTAGGTGTATCATGTGATCAAGGAATGTTCTTTTTAGTTCCTATAAATATAAACAAATACTATTACAAATAACACATGAAGATTATACAATTGTTTTACAGTATGAGAAGTTATAAAAATGATACACAGACTTGACAAAACATTAGTGATTACCTGCATCTGTACTTCAAGGGAAGGATAAGAAGCTTCCAATAGTCTTTGTAGCAATGACATTATGTACGTGTGTTGTAATGGATGACATGAGGTAATCTTTAAAAAAAGAAATAAATATTTACATTACAAGTAAACTTTTTGATTACATGTACATGTTTACAAGTATATGCTAGTATCTGGTTATGTACCATGTACATGCACAATCAATTTATAGCAATGTTACATTTACTATAGTGATACATGGCCAGAATTCCTAACCACATGTATGCTTATAATATAATAACAATAATTATGATGAAGGGCCAATTTCCATGTGCATGCTCATAGCCTCATAGTCTTACACACTGAAGTTGTACGTGTCATGTCATTTTGATAATACTACATGTTCATCAATTAAATTTAGTGGTGACCTACTGTACATGTACATGTACATACATGCATAAGCTGCCAAACTGCCAATGTACACGTATTATACAAGTAAGGGTTTCATCCATCATTCACATTTACAGCTAGCTACATGTATATGTATAGTACCGTACAAGATGATTTATTGGCGGGGAATTAATATTGGCGATTGGCAGTTTTATGAGGAAATCGCCAATATAAAATCAACCATTTTGTTTCAATCTGAGCATGCTCAATGGCAAGTGGCACAAAACTGCCAATATAAAATTCCCCAAATTTCTTTACACAAGCAAATTCGCCAAATATTACTCTCGCCAATGAATCGTCTTGTACGGTACCACAAAATATATGCATCAGTAGTTTACCTCATCCAGTAATACTAATACTAGTGATGTTGTCTCAGCAGAAACTTCAAAGAAACTAGGATTAGTGGCAGTTGACTCCACCCACCAGAACACACCCATTGATACAATCGGATACCTAATGTATAAAAATCATTCACAGCATTAAAATACCATTTCTTGATGTGAGTTCAATTTGGTGATAGGCAATTCAATTAACTTTTACTTGGTATGTTACATACTGTACCATTAGGACAATGTATAACATGCATGGAAGTAAAAAGGAAAATCTACCCTACAGGTACACAGGGTTTTATAAAAATCTCAAGGGAGATTTTTATAAATTTTCCTGATAAATATACATACACACGTACTTATGTTGTCCAAAAACTTTAAGCTGATTTACTACAGTACACATACATGTTACATGTAAATGGAGGTGTTCAAGAGTTTCTATTAAGATTAATACAATTATACTTCCCTACAGTCAAATACAAATAGTTAAAAATACCTGTCATTGTAAACATTATATAAAATGTACATATACATTTACATTGTAGAAAACATGTTAAATTAATTTTATCTTAAAACAAGCTACCATACAACCTATTTGTACATGTATTATCAAATTACACATACAAGAGTAACAAGATGCAAACTAATATTTTAAAAGTACATTTTACCTATTTCTGGCACCCTCTGTACCTCTCCAGTCAGACATTAAGTGAATTTTCTGTTTTCTAAAGTCTTAATGAGTGCTTGAGAATAGAAATAAGTGTGTTGACTGTGACTGACTAGTTGCTATGGGGAAAAAGAAACATATTGAAAAATCCTATAGCTACAGTACATGCATATATGGGTGTATGTCTTACTTGATCAATATCAAAATGAGGAACAACTATGGAAATAGGATATAAAACAGTTCTAGGTTCCTATAATGCATGCTAAGGTACATGTAGAGAAATAAATTTTCAAAAAACTCAGCGTAAAATTAAACCGATAATTTGCCTTTATTATACTATTATATTATAAATCAATAGTTAGTAGATTAATTTTTTATTATTAACAATAAAATAATGAATCAATAAGCTATATACATGCATAAACATTTAATAAATAACAAGTCGGCTATTACCAAAATCACAAACGTACAAGAATCCATCTATATTAAATGTTATTCCATAAGGAGCATAAAACTGATCAATATCACTACCTTCTTCACCAAACCTATTAACAAACACACCATCACTAGTGAAGACTGAGATACAATGATTGCCCCATTCACTAACATACACTAGACCAGTAGCTGCAGTGTCTACTATTATACCCATCGGTTTCTTAAGCTGTCCAGGACCAGATCCTTTAGTGCCAAACTGACCCACAAACTTACCATCTGGAGAGAACTTCTGAATGCGATGATTATTCCGATCAGTAACATATACTAATCTTTGATCACCAATAGCAATGCCACATGGATACTGAAACTGTCCATTAGCTGATCCTTTACTACCAAATGAATGAGAAAAGGTTAGATCAAGATTCAAGACTTGTATACGATGATTATATGCATCAGCAATATAAACCTGTCCTGTTATAGAAGAAATGGCTATACTTTCAGGATACTTAAATTGTAGTGGTCCACTGCCCTCCTTACCAACTGATGCTATACGGTATCCATCCATGTTTATCTTCTGGATCCTGTGATTATCAGACACAAGAATGAACTTGTCTAGAGTAATGGCTACACCATGAGGAGAAGAAAACTTGACATTACCACTTCCTCCTTCCCCTCCTAATGATTTCACTTTCTTTCCTTCTCTATCCAGTATTGTTACACAGTGACCACCATTCTCAGTTATTATAATATGATTATCATCAGTTGCAGCAACTCCATAAGGAGTCTTAAGTGAAGTCATAAAAAATAGTGGAGTAATATTATAAAGGTAAGGATTGAAAGGGATGACTATTGAGGTATCCTCAAGGTGTACATCATATATTTGTACCTTCAATATATGAGTACCACGTGTTGAAGGGTTACACTGTATCCAATACACTCCAGGATCAGTGCTGGTGGTAGTGACTGTAGTCTGAATGGGTTGATCACTCTTACCAACTGGTACTAGACTACACCTCAGGGAAGAGAGGGGAACAGACAAAAGAGATGAATCTGGTGCCTCCATTGATAGTGAAAACGAAAGTGCTTTGCCAGCAGGAGCAGGTGTAATGCAGTCAATCTTTTTCACTCTACACTGCTGTAGTGAGTAGGTCACAATATCTCCAATGTGATGCAGCGATTTGATATCTTTACTCAATACAAAGTCAGCTCTTTCCTTTGGATGTAACTCCTCCACAATAATCCCTGCAGTAACTTCGCTCATATGTTCCATCATCTGTGTCTTAAACCTCAGGACTTGTTGAGGACTGCCTGTCTTCAGACTCTGTTCCACATATTCCTCGACATCCTCCAGAAGACTCAAACTCATTTCTGCTGATTTCATTTGCTCTGAGAGCACTTTTAGTTTATCATCAGTGACCCTCTTTGCCTGCTCAGTCAGTTTCCTCTCTGACTGACGAAGAACAGCAATCATTTCCTCTACCATTTCATGTATTTCTTCTAAGACTCCTTCTCCTCTCTCTCTGATCTCACCCTCTCTCTCTGCAAGAGCAGACAGGACCTTCTTGAGTGCTTCCTTCTTTCCTTCAACTGGTAATAGATATTCTCTTAACTTTTGACAGTGTTTAGTATAACTGTCAGAGATTAAGTCGTATTCATGATTTTTGTGACTACGAACTTGGCAGGTAACACAGATTACTGTATCGCATGTTTCACAGAATAGCTCCAAAGGCTTTCCATGATCACTACATGTGGCCTCTTGAGGATTTGCTGTGGTCTTCTTTGTTAGACTGTACATCTCCCTGAGGTTGTTGAGAGTGAATGCTACAGGAAAGGCTCCTACTCCTTCTTCTGGTAACTCTGTACAATGACGACAAGTGGGACAAGAGAGGTAATAGGTCTCATTCTTCTTATCCAGAGGTAATCCTTCCAGACAGTGCTCACAGAATGAATGTAGACAAGGTAAAGTCTTAGGGTTGGTATAGTGCTCAAGACACACAGGACAGGTGAGCTGTTCCTCCAGTTTGAGTCTAAGACCAGGTAAAGGTGATAATGGTTTGGCTGACATTTCGTAAAGCAAAAATGAAGAGAGATAGGTAGATATTATGTAGATACTCTTGGTAGAAGAAGGCAGGCAAATGAAGATAGAGCCAGAACAAAATTATAAGAAAACGCCGGAAGAAGCCGGAATGTAAACCAAAGTAGAGTAAGGATGGAAGACAGTGAATGAGTGATGAGAGGTTGTCTTAATGACCAGATGCAACAACAAAACAAAATAAAGAAGGTGGAAGCCTGGAAGGAGAAGAGACTATGCAGCTCAGATAGAGACACCAAAAGTGGGCGATACCTTCATTACCTTGCCTGCAATGCATGCATGGACTACATGTAGGTGGTGCTTGTGGATTGCATTTTGCAACAGTGGCTTTACTTCTTCACCTTGTAGATCTGTATCTTTTTCTTCTTTATCTTACAACAGTTGTTCATTAACAGTAATTAAATGTAAACATCACAATTCTTTTTGCTATAATAATTATTACAATAACTCATCTAGACAGAGAATAATTAATATGCTTTTACATTACTGTTATCAAGAGTAGCTGCTATTATCAATGTTTATAAAAAATTATACATTTGCCAAGAAATATTATAGATCTAGTTGTTTTTAGACTTTTTCTTTTTCTTTGATTTGTGTGGACATTCAGCTATAATGATTTTAAAATAAAGATTTTAAACACATTATATCTAAGTTAGGACTTACCTAGAAATAGAGATACAGGATCGTCTTTAGTCTGAGACACAAGAGAAGAAACAATTTCATCATTTTGAAGGAGTGGAAGAAAAACTGAAGTGAACTCGGTAGAATATGGTGGACCTATAATACTCAATACCTAAATAAGATGTATGAATTTACTATCATGCAAATGCCTCTATCTTTAACTTTACCTCAGAGACAAAGTACCTGATGAGTGAATGGTCTAATGTACCAGATATCATGCATTTGTGTATGTATGATACTACTGGTATGACATGATCACAGCTTAGTAGGTGTATCATGTGATCAAGGAATGTTCTTTTTAGTTCCTATAAATATAAACAAATACAATTACAACTACACATCAAAAATGATACACAATCTTCCATTTGACAAAAACAATAGTGATTACCTGCATCTGTACTTCAAGGGAAGGATAAGAAGCTTCCAATAGTCTTTGTAGCAATGACATTATGTATGTGTGTTGTAATGGATGACACGAGGCAATCTTTAAAAAAAGAAATAAATATTTACATTACAAATAAATTTTTTGATTACATGTACATGTGTACATGTACATGTACATGCTAGTATCTGGTTATGTACCATGTACATGCACAATCAATTTATAGCAACGCTACATTTACTACAGTGATACATGGTCAGAGTTCCTAACCACACGTATGCTTATAATATAATAACAATAATTATGATACAGCTACATGTATGGTATATGTATAGTGCCACAAAATACATGTATCAGTAGTTTACCTCATCCAGTAATACTAATACTAGTGATGTTGTCTCAGCAGACACTTCAAAGAAACTAGGATTAGTGACAGTTGACTCCACCCACCTGAACACACCCATTGATACAATCGGATACCTAATGCAAAAAACACAATTATTTTACAGCATTAGAACATTATTTCTTCATGTTAGTTTTATTTTGATGATAGGCAATTTTATTTAACTTTTACTTGGCATGTTACCTACCATTAGAACAAAGCACTAACATGTACGTGTACAGGAGTTATGAGACAGCTACATGTTAATACATGTACTTCAATTTCAAAATGTAATTAAAATTCATTACGAGTGGTATCCTGTAATGCTGCCAGTCTCATACAAAGGAAAATCTACTTTACCGGTACACAGGGTTTCCCAAAGGGAATAAGACTCTCTAACTACAGGGTACATGTATTTGACAAAATTCATTTACATGTATTTTTACACGTACATGTACGTTGTACAAAAACTTTTGAGCTTATTCCAATCAAATTTAGAAATTTTATGAATTTTCAAAGTTGCTAAAAAATTAGGCCTCAGTTCCTGTAAGTACAGGGTCATTGACCAAATTTCACCAAAAATGAAAAAGGAGAGAAACCTCCATTTTTATATTTTTCCTGATACATATACGTGTACATGTACTTATGTTGTGCAAAAACTTCGAGCTGATTCCAATGAAATTTAGATAATTTATGAATTTTAAAACTTGCTCCACCAAATGCCATATATGTGCTTGTGCTTGCCAGCTCATGCTGTTTAGCTTACTTAGCACGCTCTGTGGGAAACCCTGCTGGTACACTAGTACATCTTGACAGTACATGTACATGTACATGTATGCAGTGTATGTACATGTACATGTATAATTACACATGTATATGTTTATGAACATGAATAATGTATACACATGTGGATATACGTATACATGTATATAAAAATGTACATCAAAAAAGACAATTCTTTACCTAAGACATTCAAACAGTTTTCCTATTTGTGTCAATAGTTCTGTATAAGAATCATTTGCTCCTGAGCATATCCCCTGAGCAGTCTCTATTGCTTCCTGTGCTCCTATCAGATCATCTTTAATGGGAACTAACTCTCCATCTTCATTAGGAGCCTCATAGACACTAGTAGCATATGCCAGTAGGTAAAGATACTTTTCCTTATGATCTGGGTTTATGTTGCTGCCTGGTTTGAAAAGGGTCTGAACTAATAGCTCTAAAAACAGAAACAATATAAAGTATATAATTTAACAATAATACATTACACATACAAGTACCTAAAAATTGAGCATTATGTAGAAATTTGACTGATGGCTGCTTCTCTTCTTCAGCATAGCAATGATACAACTAGGATAGGAATATACACTATACATGTAATACATGTAAATACACATACACTATACTTTGTTACATTATACACATATAGTGTTCTCTCCATCTCTGCCTCCTCTAACTCTCTCTCAATCCCTCACACTCTTTTTCCCCTCCCTTTCTCATTGAAAGTGTCCACACTTAACCGGTTTTCTCCCTCGTACTCTTTTGTCTTTCACATTCTCTCCTCTCTGTCTTACAGCAGATACGTCAGCAGGATTGAGTGCATTCCTTGATAACATTGAGCTGAGGGACTCAAATACTTTAGCATGAGACCCAATACCATTGAAATGAAGCGTCATATTTGTCACATCCAGTTTCCTAAGGGAAGTAAGTACTGTAATTAGTGCACTAACTGCTGTCCATATTAATGTCAATGTAATAGAGTGTGAATCAACCATGCTCAAAAATCAGACAAAAGACCATGTACATGTACTAAAGGCAGCAAAAGTTGTGGCAGCCATTTTGAAGTGGAGCGAATCCTACTTAGTAACGCTACTGCGTTACTAATAGCATCTATATAAATGGAGGTGTTCGAGAGTGTCTATGAGAGATTTATACAATTATACTGACATACAGTAAATTACAAATAGTTAAAAATACCTGTCATTGTGAAAATAATATTAGTTATTCAGTAGTGTTACTAAGTAGGATTCACCCTAAAACAATATGTCTGCCATGACTTTTACAGCCTTGCTATTCTATACTGGGAAAACAAGCTTCTTTGCCTACCAGACTTCTTAGAGGACAATATCTTGACCAGAGGACTCAATTAGTACCACTGGTGTCGCTCTAACCCTTGTCTAAAAGGAAATTCAAAAATCGGCCAACCGGCCATTTTGTTCAGTCCACTTTTTTGTCATCATCAAGAAGTCCTGGCAATTTAGTTGGCGAGCTGTATCTCAATCTTGACTGGTGCTAGAAGTATAATTCTTACACCATTCTACTCCAACAGTCTATGCGCGGATCCATGTCCTCTAAAATCATTCTCCAAGATATAAAAAAGTGACGTTATGACTCTGTATCAGGCCAGCTTACCTCACGTAGCCATTTTGTTAATTATAGAAGCATGTGCTCCAAAATTTGGGCGTAGTTGCGCATGCTCAGTACTGCAGTTCTCACATAGATAATAGAGTAAATGAAAGGGATTCAAAACGGAAGCATGGGCGTAGGCAAACCTCCATTCATTTGTATAGCTGATAGGCTGACAGAGGTTTGTTGTAATTTTTTGTCACAATTTACCCTTGATTTTTTTTCTTTTAGAAACAATATCTCACGAATAAGTGTTCCTATGCACGTAAAATTAATGCATCAAGAAGCCTAACGTTTTCCCTTAATAATACTGTTTTCCATTGTACAGATAATTTTACTATGTTAATGTTATGGCACTTTTAAAACCATAAAATGTATTTTTTGTCATTATAATCCATTTTTTTGAAAACAAGCTAAAGTAAAATAATAATCATATGAAAGAGCTTTCATTTACATATGAAATGATTGGAAAAAATAATATTTCATTTCAAATGATATGAAATGTTGGAGTTAGGATCCATGAAGCAAGAGTTTGTTACAACAGAAAAAAGGGCAAAAAATGAAAAAAATTGTTGTACCTATAACAAAGAGTCTATAACTCGTTGCAAAATAGCTTTGTAGAAGTAAAAGCCTTGCTACAGGTAGTCCTACACTTTCTATATAAAACAGTAGGCATATCATAAGTAAGAGTCCTCTTGGATCTTCATAAATGTCGTTCAAAATCCTTGCAGTACAGCCTCACTAATGGAGGAGATGGGAAATCAACCAGGTATTGGGCCGGTAACCAATAGCAACATCAACCAGCCTACGCCCCCGTTTCCAATCCCTTTCATTTACTCTAATATCTATGGTTCTCAGAACTGGGAAAAGCAAGTAACTTTCTAACCTAGCTAGGCTAGCTATGCTTGGGATCAATTGCAATACTTAGTGGAGGTTTCCAGCTAAAAGAAGGTATTAATCTTACATATTATTCTTTTATCAAGTGTGTAATGAGTTACTTTATTTTTAAAAAACAATTAATTAATGTTATCTTACAGCCACTTATTTTTAAGTAGACAAATATTTGCAACTCGTTAATGGTATTGATTTAGAGTGTACTAATTTTCACAATTTTTTCTTTTCTTCAATTAATAACTACCGTAGGCTGGGTTTTGATTGCGAGGTTTTTTTGATTGCAAATTGCGAGTCTGGAATCATAGATACAGTATACACAGGGATTGGAAACGGCCCGGTATCACGTGATCTTTTTCTTAACATTTCAATGAGACAACAAAAATTGTCAAAAAAACCTAGGCGTGTTACGGGTTAAAAATAGATATCCAGGGATATTCTTCAGAAAAGTCTCGAGAAAGTCATCTGTCTAATGACTTTTTAAGATTTTGAGTGGTCCCCATTCTAGGAAAAGTTTGGCTGCATAAAGCTCTCTTTCGAAGGTATTCTATAAACTGGTACTCTTTGCAATATATCCATTCTCGTATGATTTGAGATCTTTTCTCCCTCTAGCTTCTACATTGATGACACAACAGCTGTTATGATGAGATGTCTAGATTGATGTGACTATTATCCAATGTACTGAGTGTTTTTAATCTTAATTTTCTCTTAAGCCGTGTTTTATTGAGGACATCAACTGTCATCAAGAATAGTCGGACCTACGGCGGAATTTCTCCCTCTGGCAACTTCACTATGACTAATAACGAAAATCTGTGGCATTAGTATTGTTCCCTAGGAATCTCTCCAATGTAATGAGCTACAATGAAGTGACTATTTTTGTCCTGTGGATATTTGGAAGGCTGTTTCTGCAAGTGAAGAATACTGCCGTTTATTGATTACTTTTGATAAACTTGCTATGCATGCAACTTTTATTTGATTCCAACTATTAGTTTTTACATTATAGAATAGTTATCAAGTGTCAGTGATACTGCAGCGTCAAGATATATGAAATAAACAGGGCTTGTAATTTTAACATGGGAGGCCATTTTGAATAAAATTATTAACCCGTAACGCGCATCAACCATTAATTATCCGAGTGTTTCCAATCCCTGTATACTGTATCTATGCTGGAATACATCTCGCAATGAAAAGAATCGTAATTAATAATAATTGATAAACGCCACACCTATAATAATTAATAAGCACCACGCCTATCAATCATTTTCTCAACACGTGTTTCATTTTACATCATGAGTGGTATCCTGTGCTATTTTCAGCCCAAATTACCTGATCTAGTCAAGTCCCAATGCCACCTAACATCTTGAAGGAAGTTAATAGTAGCTTTAGATGGCAAAGGAGAGAAACAAGACAATCAGTTAACTTGTGAGTGTGGCTAGCTAGGCTAGCATCTCGCAATTGTTGGAAACACAAACTAGTTATTTTTTCAAATTCGCAATCTATTAGATATGCAATCAAAACCCAGCCTACGGTATCAATAAACCTAAATTATTAATAAATGTGAGTACTAATTTTTGCGATTTTAAAGCCTCTCACAAAAAACCGCAAAAATTAGTACTCCCAAGTAATAGTGGCTTTAAGGTACAATAATGAAATGATAATGACTTTGGCAACAGGAAGAACAGGAAAAGACAGCTACAGAATTGCAGGAAAGATGTAGCTCCTTGAACGAGGATTAATGTCAAGACTATAGTATTAATTTCACTTGTCATCTGCTGTCTCTCATAAATGCTAGAAAGTCATAACAATGATAATAATAATAAAGAAAATTATTGTTTGTGTAAAATCAACAAGTATCACAATTGCAACAAAAACATTATTATAAATATTATAAAAAATCAACACAAACAAGAACATAAAAAAGTTAAAAACTTGAAACAAGATTGAGTAGGATTCCAAACAGCCAACAAAAATACGAAATGAAAATCCTACTCTCATGATGCAAATTCTAGTCTACAGTGCAAGGTGATTCATGATTTTTACATAAAAACTTTAAAAGTACAATGTAGAGTAGAAATTGCATCACGAGAGTAGGATTTTCATTTCATATTTTCGTTGGTCGTTCAGAAGCCTACTGAATCTTGTTTTTTTAAAATTTTTTATGTTCTTCTAAAACTTGTCTTTGTTCAGTTTCTTGATACCATACATGTACATGTACATTTATAATAAGATTACAAGTGTCAGCAATATGCCATAGGTCATGAAGATTGCTACTATAACAATTATTTTAGCTATCATAATTTCCTTTAGTCACAAGACTATATACACTACTCCAGGCCATCAGGGCTGTCTGCCTGTTGCTCCTTTCTTCTACTGCTCTATTTTGTTTGACATCTTTGTTTATTTCGACTTCATTTTCTAATTGTTCATTCTTGCTCTATCTTAATTAAGTATTTCTCTCTTTCTATTTTTTTTTTATCCTGCTTTACATAAAAAAATTTTATCCTTTTTTGAAATGGCAACCAAACCATCTTCTGGTCTCAGACTCAAACTAGAGGAGCGGCTCACCTGTCCTGTGTGTCTTGACCACTATACCAACCCTAAAACTTTACCTTGTCTACATTCATTCTGTCAGCACTGTCTAGAGGGATTACCTCTGGAGAAGAAGAATGAGACCTATTACCTCTCTTGTCCCACTTGTCGTCATCATACAGAGTTACCAGAAGAAGGAGTAGGAGCCTTTCCTGTAGCATTCCACCTCAACGACCTCAAAGAGATGTACAGTCTAACAAAGAAGACAGCAGATTTATCAAATCCTCAAGAGGCCACATGTAGTGATCACGGAAAGCCTTTGGAACTATTCTGTGAAACATGTAATACAGTAATCTGTGTTACCTGTCAAGTTCGTAATCACAAACATCATGAATATGACTTAATCACTGACAGTTATACTAAATACTGTAAAAAGTTAAGAGAATGTTTATCACCAGTTGAGGGTAAGAAGGAAGCACTCAAGAAGGTCCTGTCTGCTCTAGCAGAGAGAGAGGGTGAGATCAAAGAGAGAGGAGAAGGAGTCTTAGAAGAAATACATGAAATGGTAGAGGAAATGATTGCTGTTCTTCATCAGTCAGAGAGGAAACTGACTGAGCAAGCAAAGAGGGTCACTGATGATAAACTAAAGGCTCTGTCAGAGCAAATGAAATCAGCAGAAATAAGTTTGAGTCTTCTGGAGGACGTTGAGGAATATGTGGAACAGATTCTGAAGACAGGCAGTCCTCAAGAAGTTCTGAGGTCTAAAAAACAGATGATGGAGCGTATGAGTGAAGTTAGTGCAAGGATCAATGTGGAGGAGTTACATTCAACAGAAAAAGCTGACTTTGTATTGAGTAAAGATATCAAATCTCTACATCACATTGGAGATATTATTTCAGGAGCTACTGCACTACAGCAGTGTAGAGTGAAGAAGATTAATGATATTAGCAAGTCAACTTCATTTTCACTATCAATGGAGGCACCAGATTCATCTCTTTTGTCTGTTCCCCTCTCTGCTCTCAGGTGTAGCCTAGTACCAGTAGGTACAGGTTGTGAACCCATTCACACTACAGTCACTACCACCAGCACTGATCCTGGAGTGTATAGGATACAGTGTAACCCTTCAACACGTGGTACTCATACAGTAAAGGTACAAGTATATGATGCACACCTTGAGGATACCTCACTAGTCATCCCTTTTAATCCTTACCTTGATAACATCACTCCACTACGTACTATAATTGAGTTTAAGCATCCCTGTGGAGTTGCTGTAAGTGATGATAATCATGTTATAATAGCTGAGCGTGAGGGTAACTGCGTAACAATACTGGATAGAGCAGAATGGAAAGTGAAATCATTAGGAGGAAAAGGAGGAAGTGGTAATGCCAAGTTTTTTTCTCCTCGTGGTGTAGCCATTACTCCAGACAAATTCATCCTTGTATCTGATAATTCCAGGATCCAGAAGATAAGCATGGATGGATACCGTAAAGCATCAATTGGTGAGAAGGGTAGTAGACCACTACAATTCAATAATCCTTCTGGTATAGCCATTTCTCCTATAACTGGACAGGTTTATATTGCTGATAAGGGTAATCATCGTATTCAAGTCTTGAATCCTGATCTAACCTTCTCTCATTCATTTGGTAGTGAAGGATCAGCTTTTGAACAGTTTCAGTCTCCATATGACATTGCTATTGACAGTCAAGGATTAGTCTATGTTGCTGATACTAATAATCATCGCATTCAGAAGTTCTCTCCAGATGGAAAATTTGTGGATCAGTTTGGTACATATGGATCTGATCCTGGACAACTTAGCTGTCCAGTTGGTATAACAATAGACACTGCAGCTACTGGTCTAGTGTATGTTAGTGAAGCAGGCAATAATCGTATCTCAGTCTTCACTAGTGATGGTCTGTTTGTTAAAATTTTTGGAAGCTATGGTAAGCATCCTTATGGATTAACATTTAACAAAGATGGATTCTTGTATGTTTGTGATCATAATTATCACCGAGTTGTTGTTTATTAAAAGGATTTTTCTCAATTATTCTAAATTGTTTAATCTAATGTTATTCTAAATTTATTTAATATTTATTTTATTGATCAAGTATAAAATCTAATTAAATTCTAGATTACACATTGTAAGTCGAGACATATCACAGTATCTAGAGTTATATTTGCTTATAG